ACTGAGCAACAGACTGTGAGCTACCCGCTGCTACCAGTGACTACTAAGCCTTGGCCTGTGGGCTACTGAGGCTACTACAGCCTGGTACCTTTGGCCGACAGCTACCGAGTAAATAGGTGTTTCCTGATGATGTATTGCGCATGGAGTCGCCACAGACTCGGACTAGGGAACAAAGGAATAATACTTAAGTACTCCAAGAGCGCCAATCAACCCAATTCCCCCAAGTTACTTAGGCAATATTCCAACTTCTCGAAATTTGAGTGATAAGATACAAAAAGAACAAACTCACTCTAAGCTAAGGAGAAACACTTCCGAATTGCTGGCGAAGTGCCCCAAAAAGTTCCCTAAAAAGCTCAAAGCCACAGAAGTGGAAAAAAGCGGTGGTAAGATCTGAAATAAGAGCTTGTAGTTTTGCTGATGAAGTCACGTTTAACAAGTTAAATTTGTGGCAAGGGTATAAAAATTTGCATATTCCGGCCAAAATTTTCGCACCTCCGGAGGACTGTTTACTAGCTGATCTAGCCTGAGATCCCGGACGTGCTATGTCCACTAGGTGTGTCAGGGGATACAAGTTGGTAAGATAGAAAATATATTCTTGAGGCTCAAGCTGTTAGTACTGGTTCACGCGCTTAGCTGAGTTGCGTCGAAGAGAATTGAAATCTGGAAAAATTACAATAAGATTAAAGTTTGGGGGACAAAACTGAAATGAGTGAAACTCAACATGTGTTGGTGGTGCGGCGAGATTGAGGTTGTGGTAGTGGGGATATCAGAACATCAATGAGATCCACTGGCATAAAGTTTTTGAGTCAAGACCACGTACTTACCAGTGCTCAACCGGCCCCTTTGCAACAGGACTAGTGCCAGTGCGTTATATAAATAGTGGTGCATTGATGTCCAGTTTTTGAACAGAACGGTCGTGCAGCCATTGTCAATATATGTCCGACCTATTGAAAGAACTCATGCTATTTTCTCGGACGAATTTTTGTACATTTACAAGTGCATAAAAAAAGAGACGTGCACGAATATACATATAGTACGGATGAAAAATTCATTCCATCTGTAGTTTCGTTGTCATGGGTGCGGGTGCAGCAAGCGCAGCGCGCTGAGCACAGATGCGGAAAATTCCCTCTCAAGCACTCTGGACATAGATTGAAACAAAAAAAATACCTCATTGTTCTGCTAATTACTGAAATTACAGGGACTGTAGTATACAGGTTCTCAATGGGCCCAATCTGTCCGTGCACTCTGCTAAATCATCCACCAGCCCCAAGTCACTCAAGATGCCCTCTCCAACAGTCTGGACTTGGATGGAAACAAGAAATGGTTTTTATTCTCTACCAAAATTACAGAAGTACTAATTGAACTATAACCCGGGCAACGCGAACGACGAGCGCGAGGCAACGCGTGCGCGCGGCGGCACGCGTGTACGGCGTGCATGGTGGCAGGTGTATACGCGGCGGCGGGTGCGTGTACGGTGCACGCCGGTGCACGCCGCAGCAGCGGGGCGTGCAGCGAGGCACGCATACGACCTGCGGCGGGGCGAGCGGCGGGTAGCAGCGCAGGGCACGCCCCGCTGTGCACGGCGTGCGCTGTGCATGCGTCGCACATGTGCGACGTGTGTAGCGGCAGCGCCTGCAGGCGTGTACGGCGTGCAGCGGGGCGTGTGGCGGGTAGCAGCGTGGGGCCGTGTGTACGACGTACGGGGATGAGCATGCCGACGGCACTGCCCGGCGCGCATGTACGACGTGCGCCGCGTCACCTGTATGTGTACGCAGCGGCGAGGTGCTCGCGTTCGGTGTGCGGTGGGTAGCAGCGCGGCGTCTGCATGCGTGCGGCGGGGGCGAGCGGCGGGTTAGGAAGCGCACGCCCCGCGGCGCGTGCGTGCGCTGTGCTGTTACCCGTCACTCGCCCGCTGCTTGTCTTGCCGCACCTCATACGTGTGCGCCCTGCCGCCGCGCATGTGCCGCGGCGCGCGCTGTACATATGCGACGCTTGCAGGCCTTGGTCGCAGCGCACGCCGGTGTGCTACGCTGTTACCCGCCGCACATCGTAACGTGCTCCGCTGCACGCCCCTCCGCGCACCGCACACGCACCTGCCGCTGCGTATACATCTGCCGCCGTACACGCATACCGCCGCGCGCCGTACGTGTGCGCCCTGCTGCTTCGCGCGCATGCAGTGCCGCAGCGTACACCGCACATATGCGCCCCACGCTGCTACCCGCACGGCGCACACGGTACACGGCGGACATACCCGCCGCACGCCCCGTTGCACGCCGGACGCGTGCTCCCCACCGCCGCGTACGCCTGCAGGCGCTGCCGCTACACACGTCGCACATGTGCGACGCATGCATGGCGCACGGCCCGCACGCCGTGCACAGTGGGGCGTGCCCTGCGCTATGCGTGCACGGCGGGGCGGGCCCTGCGCTATACATGCGTGAGCATGCGTGAGCGGTGGCTGGGCGCAGGCGTACGGCGTGCGGCGGGGTATGGGCATGCGTGGCACTGCGCACATGTACGGGGTGCGCCGCGGCAGCACTTGAATACATGCGCAGTGGCGGGGCACACGCGTACGGCATACGGGGGGAGCGGAGGCTAGCAGTGCCGCGGCAGTTCCTGAGCATGCGTGCGCAGCGTGCCCATTGGGGCGCTGCGTGTGTGAGTGGTGGGGTGCGCGGCGTGTGTGGCATGTGTGATGGTGTGTGCGGCGGGCAGCGTTGGGGCAGGCAGTGTGAGTATAGCACTTGGAGGGGTTCCACGCAGGGGCGTACACAGGCGGGGGCAGGGTGACCGTATCAGGCGGGTACTGGAGGACGTGTACGCCCATGAGGTGGCAGATCGAAACTGATGGACACACGTGCTTTGATCCGATGGGGAACGATAAAAACATCACGCGTCACTCAACATATACACAGCGCTTTAATTTATTCAGAGAATGCACACTACTACCAGAACTACATAAACTATCAGAGCCACGGTGCCGGAGGCACGTCTATCAGTCCCCCATCGCACTACAGAGCTGCCCATTAGTCCACAATGCTCTACGGCGTGCTATGTATGCAAACCTCGGGCTATGGCGTTGCTACATGGTAGCTCCCACGGCTACAGACGCTACATCGGGCAACAGCAGGACATCCCCCCACTATATGGATTTCACTTTTCCCTGATGTGAGGGCCTAATAAATTCAGCTGAGCACATAACTTGATTTGGGGACTCATCTCAAATGTCCAAGAACATGCACAACATCTTCCGAAAGGGAAACTGAGAACTTTCGGATTTGTGTCTTAATTTGGAACAATCAACTTTTCGCTTTCCAAACCAACAATGGAAAGAACGATAAGGCAATCCGGAACTGAAGAAACGGTTTGTTTATTCAAGTTGATACTTGTGGTGGATGGGTCTGCACGTGCATCCATCAGTGTCCGATTTCCCGATCTGTTACCCATTCTGTATGCTGCCGTCCCGGTCGCTCGGCGGGCAATGCGGCGGCACACATCGGCACATCAAGTGCACTGTGAATACTTTTATTACTGGTCACGTCACATCACCTGCCACCCCCCGCCGCCCCCGGCGGTCGCTGCGCGCGATGCGCGCGGTGCGGGGCGGCACACGTTGGCGCAAGAAGTGCGCTCAATGCTGAAAATATTTTAACCATTATTGGTTGTCTTCCGAAATTCTTCTGCCCGTCGTCGGTGGCGATGCCGCCGACGACGAGCGCGATGGCGGGGTGGGGCGGGGCGGGAGCGGGGGGGGGAGTTCCACATCAGCAGCGTGCCGCTGACACCTGTCAGGTGTCACATCAGAATCACGTGACATAACCTCCCGCCCCCACCTGGCGGGTGGCGGGCGCGACAGCGGGGCAGCACACTGGCGCATCAGGGGCTGATGCGGTTATTTCCATATTTTTTATGAATTTTTTGTAATATTTTACCACCCAACGTCAGCGGCGTCGCCAATGACGACGAGCGCAAGGGCGGGGCAGGGCAGGGCAGGAGTGGAGGGCGGGAGTTCCGCATCAGCACCGTGCCGCTGACACCTGTCAGGTGTCACATCAAAATCACGTGATGATGTGACCTCCCGCCCCCTTGGCGGGCGGCGGGCGGGACGGCATGCTAGCGCATCAGGGGCGCCTGATGCGTTATCTTATTTTTAACAAATTTTTTGTAATATTTTACTGCCCGCCGTCGGCGACGACGAGCGCGGGGGCGGGGCGGGGCGGGGCGGGATGGGCGGGAGTGGGAGGGCGGGTGTTCCGCATCAGTGCCGTGCCCTATCTGTCAGGTGTTACGTCAAAATCACGTGATGTGACACCCCCGCACCCCAACGGTCGCGGCGGGCAGCGCGCGCAACGGCGGGGCGCTGCCCGCTGGCGCATCAGGGGCACCTGATGCGGTTAATATTTCCAATATTATTGGCATTTTTCTCGGATTTTTTTTCGAAAATATCCCGCCCGACGTCGGCGGCATCGCCAACAACGACGAGCGGGGGGCGGGGGCGCACGGTGCGCACTGCCACACAGGCCCCACAGCTCTAAGTCCCCCGCCCTATAGGTATTGAAGATATTTAAAGATATTTTCAGCGACGTATTGTAGGGATTATTGGGAATAGCCCCACACAACCTTATCCCTTCCTAGTTAGGCCAGCCGTACCGACCGGTACGGCTGGCCTAACTAGGGGAGTAGTGTGGGATTATTAGGTGCCCATTTTATTCTTGACCCACCGCCGGCGTGCTTAATCCTCTAAGGCGGGGGTCGGACTGTTGGTGCGCGTGATGACGCGCGCCGGCGGCCCAGCCGCATCGAGGCACCGCTCACCGCGGAAGTGTCCGGGCTACGTCGCGTATGCAGCGCCGGCGCCGGACGTCGAGCCGACAATAGTCTGGTATGGGCCCAATAACGGACGCACCGCACGTGGAGTCGAACTGCAATTGACGTCTGGGATTCGAGGTGCACAGGCGTCCGAGTTGTGCCATCGTATGCAGGGGAACACATCGATAGAAGAGTCTCGACTAGTATATCGGTCAGGACACGAGCTTGTCGTTAAAGATGGAAGTGACAACTCGGGCGAAAGCTGGGTTTGATTCCCAGGTCGAGAGTAAGTGATGATCGGAGTTTTTGCTCTTTTGATTTACAGCTATTTGCGGAACATAAGGCGCGCATCGAATTCTTTCTGTTTTTGGACATATTTGCTAATCAAACACCCTTTTGCCCATATCTCACTCAATTCTCTTCCGATCGCCTTCGGACCGAGCTCAATCATTTTGTATATCTGTTTTACAGTGCTTAGGCTTATACTTGGAGTGACCATTCAATGTGTTAGAACAAGGTTTTTCCCCTTAAATTCATGAGAAGAGGAGACATGTCAATATGTGCCACGATCACGTGACCTGTTTGATGCGCCTCTTGTCTTGCACTTTACTTGGCCTCTGCTGCATAAAATATCTTCGGACCACCTCAAACAATCAGATATGATATTCTTACATATCCCTCAGACCACAGAGCATTCAGAAAGGCCACTTCTGGCATAGAATACAGCCACATAGTTTAACATGCAAATACTCATTTCCTACCCTTAATCCAGATAATATCCAGACAGGCTACCTACCCTATACGCTGTAGGACATATATATAAGTACTCTGGGCCAATAAAACCACCTGGAAAATTATCCACTGGGCTTCAAGAGTGCACACAGTGGAAACTGCTTATTATTTACTCTCTGATGGTCCACACCCCAAATAAGTTTATTCAAATAGCCTAAGCACTGTAAAACAGTCATACAAATGATTGAGCTCGGTCCAAAGGCGATCAGAAAAGAATTGAGTGAGATATGGGCAAAAGGGTGTTTGATTAGCAAATATGTCCAAAAACAGAAAAAAAATCGAGCTGCGCCTTATGTTCCGCAAATAGCTGTAACTAGGCTCGAATCCAGCCTGTCTCTCGAAACGATGTGGTGAGGTTGTGTCGAGAGACAGGCTGGTCGATCGGAGTTTGAATTACCGATACGCGTGATTTGTCCAAAAAAGGCTATTTGTAAGCAAGATCACCGGCCCAGTAAAGCATGAGTAAACAACGCGTCTCTTGGCTATACAGGTTGTACAACGACTTGTAACTCGCTTCCTCTGTATTGTGACCTGCCATGGCATCCGAGACACCTTCAACAAGTCTTCGTGAAGAGGCCGAGCGTCTCAGACCGCAGTTGCAGCCTATGCTTCATCAGAGAAAGCCGCGCGTGGCTATACCCAGCGCCTCCAGTTTTTCTGCAACAGCTGAGGCCATTCCCCTGACACAGGATGTCCAAACTTCTCGGATAGAACCGTGCGACTTTCAACAAGAAGATTCTTGCAATGATAGCAGGTCACGGGTTTGAAGATGAAGACGATGAGTGTCCAACAATGGCATTTGGCACCTTGGAATTCCCAGAGGGAGAAGCATAACATTGTTTAAAAGTAGAAATGTGACAAGCTTTGAATCATTTTTCGGGTAAGTGGGTACTGCGACGAACATTTGATCAGAAAGAATATATCCAGCGCAAGCGCATGGAGATCGGGGAGTACGAATATAGAATTTCTCGTTATAAAGAGTGTTCATAATGATTTTTAAGTCAGAAGACGGGGCATAAAGCGAAGGGATGTGTCTTAATGGACGACGGAAGGGAAGAGGTGCATTGTTTACTCATGTTGTATCTCGCTGTTGATGCTGCTTACCAATAGCCTTTTTTGGACAAATCACGCGTAATGGTAATTCAAACTCCGATCGACCGGTCTGTCTATCGACACACCTCACTCACCTCAAAGTTTCGATACGACAGACGGTCTCCGGTCTAAGCTGTAACTGCAAATAAAATATTGAATTATAAGTGTCGCGCCCATGAGGGTTTTTATTGGTCCGTGAATCCATCATGAGAGAGCGGCGGCTGGTTGCGATTCATGTCCAAGCCATGTCACTGAGGACAAGGTACAATATAATGCCAGAATATATTGTATGTATATTGTAAGTGTATTTTGAATATGCATGGAATATACTTGCAATATACCACCCCTTTATATGCCATGTATATTCAATATATACCAACCACATGTTTACTATATACCAAGTTTGTATATTCTGAGTATATTAGCTAATATACCAGCTATATGATCACAATATACCAAACCCAAATATGGTAGCTGTCAACCTATATTTGGGTTTGGTATATTGTAATCATATTGTAAACATTCCAGAAAAAGAAGAAAAAAACCTTCTTATTATTGCCGTTTGCGAAATAGTTGGCAGCCGTGACCAACATGTCACATTTTGCTTCCCGGCTCGCGCGACACATAACTCTTCAACCGCTGCACGTAGAGCCATATACTTATACTCAAAAATGAATGTTTTTGCTGCCCCTAGGGCACCCCATAGTAATTTTTATAATTTGAGTGACTGTGGGAAATTTATACCAAACAGTGGATTTGGACGCAGGTTGGCGATAACATGGGAACTATTGGGTATTTCCAGTGGCTTAAAAGACAAAAAATACTCTCCTGGTGTGCCCTGAGGGCGCCCCATAATGATATGGCCAAGGCATGTCAGTATTGGACAGGCAGTTATTTGTCTGTAGTGACCTCTCCTCTCCCTGGATGTCACATGGGTCATATCATGGCAGACTTGATGGGGCGCCCTTGGGGCATACCAGGAGAGTATTTCTTGTCTTTTATGCCACATGAAATACTCAACGGTTCCTATGTTATCGTCAACCTGCGTCCAAATCCACTGTTTGGTATACATTTCCCACGGTCGCTCAAATTATAAAAATAATTATGGGGCGCCCTAGGGACAGCAAAAACATTCATTTTTGATTCTAAGTATATGGTTCTACGTGCAGCGGTTGAAGAGTTATGCGTCGCGCGAGCCGGGAAGCAAAATGTGACGTGTTGGTCACGGCCGCCAACTATTTCGCAAACGGCAATAAGGCAACACTCCAAAAAAGGAAGAACAAAACCTTCCTATTAAGGCAAATCCTATAAATAAAATAGAAAATATTGCTTTTTATAGAAAGTGTTGGCATCACTGATCATATTTGGTTCTATGATATGTTTACAATATACCAAACCCATATATGGGCTATGGTATATTGTAAGCATATAGTTGGTATATTAGCAAATATACTCATAATATACACCTCTGGTATAGTAAACATATTGTTATTATATATTAAATATACTTAGCATATATAGAGGTGGTATATTGTAAGTATTTTCCATGCATGTGTAAAAAATACTAACAATATACTTCTAATATATTCTGGGGTTATATTGTACCTTGTCCTCAGTGTGTGCAAGATTGCATAGTGGCGACGTGATGGAGCACAGCCGTGCCTGATCTTTGTTTTTTACTTTGCAGGCGATCTTACTTTTGCGTCGCTAGACCCTCTGCCGAAAGGTGGCGGAAAATAGTGCGCGCAAAAACCGGGTTTGACTCCCACTTATGAGTCAACTCTAAGGCTTTTTCTTCGCCGTTTTGATTCAATTGCAACAAAATTTAAGTCTTGCAAGGCCGGTAACTTAACGGCAGGGACCGCTATCTGACTCCTTGTGGAGGAGTTAAAGCTTCTAGCGCGGATACAAACTTTGAAGCCCTTATAAGAGAACGAAAGGTGCGACATCTAAGTGTTTAGTACAATATTAAGTGACACCGCCCGAAAGTTATGGTCAAATCCACTGGCAATGTCAGAATTCATGGCGTTGTATCTAACAGGATTGGAGACTCGATGCCCCAAGAAATACTACAACTAGTTATAGTAATTAACCGCCAAGCGGAACGGTTAAGCGGCGCGCCGGTTTCCGGCCCTAATCCGGCGGATTCCTGTGCGGTTTTCTGTCCTGGGTAGTGTGTCAAGTCAAGGGCTACATATCTGTTCAAAACTTTGAGTGAATCCATGCAGTTTTGGTTGAGAACGAAGCCCTTCTTTTCGGGGTGCCCGATTTGGACAGATAACGTGAGAGCGAAATGCTGCAATATTATTTGTTGAGCTTCGTTCTGCAAAATTGAACAAAATCTGAGTCTATATTCCGATTCAGAGGCACCTTAAACCCCATGTACAAAGAACACCGAGTATCTGCACTGCGCCCAACCCGCACAGTAGATTTCTGCAGCACATCAGAAAACTGAGCCAAATAGTGCCGAAACAAACTGATGCCGCCTGGGCTCTCAAGCAGCTTTTTGCACAAAACTTTTTGTGAATAAGAGGTAACCTAGCTTCTGAAAAAAATCTGGCTTATTTCCTTCAGCTGAAAGCTCACAGAACTTGGTGTTTCGCTCTCTGGTGGCGTTTCGCTTGACGGTTAATCACTGTATTAGTTGAACTACATTTCTCATTTCCGACCGGCTTGCCCCCTTGTGGGAGTTTAAATTGGCTGTGCGCAAACCCGCAAATCGACTTGGGCTTGTGATGGGGGTTGTGTGGGCTCCACACTATGGATAGACACTGTAATTAAGATACCTAGAACATTGTGAGATGGCATTGAGGCACTTGAGGGGCTGTACTGACCCTTGTTGGGAGCAGTCGGCCACGATGTGATGCCATCACTTTGTGTTGATCGCTGTATCAAACAGCTTTGGAGTTCAAGGGGTTGCCAATAATGAAATTTTGGGACATATGCCGATTTCAGGTTTTTTTTGGGCCAGGAATCCGAATCCGAAGAGATATGGTCAGTGGTTCAAGAGATATGGCCATTTTCTCAAAAATAATAATGTTTTTTTTTTTTGATTTTTTTTTCTGAACACAGATCAGGCAATTCTGCGTCACTTTCAAAAAAAAAAATTAAGACAGAAGGAACCAACCACGTGATTTATTTCCTTATATAGTAGGTATAATTCCCATAAAAGGCAGTATTTCTGGCCCATCAAAATGGGCATATCTCTTGAACCACTGACCATGTTGACTTTTTCTCTTCAGATTTGGATTCCTGGCCCAAAAATACCCTGAAATCGGCATGTCCCAAGGGGGTCCAACGATAAGAATCGCTGACACAGGGTGGGGGGGGGGTCCAGCCTCCCAAAAAAAAACTTTTGTGGCACAAAAGTTTTTTGTCCAGAAACGGTCTTCTGGGCTGTTCT